ACCATTTTGCCTTATAAATCAGTGCCGTTTTTAAGACATTTTTATTGAGCGATTATTTATTTGATCTTTCCACTTTTTTCAAACTGAGGTTTTAGGCTCTTCGAAGTTCAAAATAACATTTTGTTTATTATTAAAAATGTTAATATGTCATTAATATTGAAGTAAAATATATTTAAAAAATGTAAGAAACTGAATTTTACGTAAATTTCATGACGAATTCAAATATGTTACAGACATTTTAACTGATAAATAGTTTAGTTAATAAAAAAGACAGAATATTAGTACTTTTAGAACAAAAAAAAGAACAGTATAATTAATATTTGTAGAGCGCGTCATTGACGATGTCCACGTGAGGGAACTCGTCATTATTTCCTTTATACACCATCACTACTGTTTCAAAAAATAATGATCACTTACGACTTACTACGCACAAATTTATACGAGCACACTTAGAAAAAGACATACACTGAAATACTTATAAACGGTCGGTATCGATCCCCATCTTCCCTTTTAATTTTATAGCAGGAACATTTTAATGGTACTTCGTTTCTAAAAGTTTGAAAAAGTATAAATCAAATATGTTTCGTGTTAAAGTCATAGTAGCTTCAATAGGTACCTTTATCATCTGTCGATAAATCGATTTATTCAGTTATTATTGAGTGGGAGGGGGGGCAATATACATATGTCATCAAAAATATCACTTACACGATACACGTAACTTAAATAGTATCAAAAATATTAAAAGTAGTATAATTCTGTCATAATATGTGTACCAACTATATTTATTGTCTGATATTCTGACTGTTGATTTATAATAATATATCATTTATGAAATACGCACGTCTAGAAGTACAGACAAAATATAGCAAGGAATTAAAAATATAACTGTTATGTAATATCGAGTACATTAATAATATTCGTTAATTATTATAGGTACAAGGTACGTATAATGAATAAGTATTGAGCGAGCTATTATACCTAAATACTATCCACTATACTGAGCTTACGTTAAAAAGAAAAAAGTACAAAGTACCTATACGATATACAATTTGAAGTTTCGCAATAATTACACAGATAAGTGATTCTGTTCATTTATAGGTATTTCAACCATTGTTCAATCATTAACATTAAATTATGTTAATTATATATAATTATTTACAATAATATATTTTATTAAAAACCAATACAGAACTTTTCAATCGATGTATAATAAGTAGTGGAATGAATAGGTTCTACATTTCATATACCTACCTACGTCTTAAAATCCCACTTATAAATGTTCACTGTACAATAATTAGTTTAAATACTTTGAACATTTCATAATATATATTAAAATATAGAAATGTTTTTAGTCATCACGAATTATATTATTGAATTACAACAGAATAACTGAAATTGCTATTATTTCATTTATTTGTTAATAGGTATATATTATACCGTCATAATTTTAACTTAAAATGTCTATAAGAAGTTAGTTATTGTATATTTTTTAAATTTTAGGTTAAAACTTTTAGCAATAAATAAATAGACATGAAGAAGCTTGGATTTAAGCCTTAAATATTATCAAAATTTGAACTTTAAAGTTTAAATCATTACTGCAAAAAATGCATAGTATGTTTAAGTTTTTTAAATATTTTTAAATAACCATAAGAACAACTAATGCTGCGTTCAATTATATTTGAAAATGTTTGACCGAGACTAAAAATTATATTATCGATATTTAAAAAAAATTAAATCGAAAATTTCAAATGCCTACAAATATTTAAAATCACTCTACATATTTTAAAAATGTGATTAAGTAACGAGTACCATAGGTTTCTTGTTATGAATCTTATGTTACATAACATTTGAAATGTTGGGGATTTCGAAACATTTAGTTTATGTACTTTGAAAGTCTATAAATGAACATTATTACTTATAAGTATGTGTTTTTAATATTTGTAAATTTTCAGGTATGTGAACAACTTATGAGGAACTTTGTTTTGAATTGTCAAGCTTTAGAAACTAAAAACAAAAATTTAAGATAATTATATTATAAAAATATAATATAATTAAAATATCTAATTTTGTCCAAATTTGAACTTGAAATGTCTAAAAAATTCTGTTTAGAAGTATATTTTAAAGATCTTTTGATTACATCATAAAATAGTCATGAAAAACTTTTAAACCAGTTTTATTTCAATCCTTACTAATAAAAATTGAACATTTTTAAACACAAAATTATTTGCAAATTAAATTATTATTTTGCCTATGTAGGTATGTAAAATGTATATAATATATTATATTAATTGAAAAACCTGATGTTATAATTTTTACCATAATGAGCAATTTTGGATTGCACAAAATCATGCACAAATAGTTAGAAAACAGATTACAAGAATTTGCAAGTCCATTTAAACATTTTTAAGTGTAAATTACTATAGTTATCACAGATTTTTGCATAGTAGGGCTAATTTCACGCGATCTGCCAACCCTTAGGTACAAAATACCTACAAATAGATTCTACCTGTCGCATATGTGAAATATGATAAATCCGATTTGGACTTACTGTAAAGACTACAGTGTACTGCTAAAGTACCTATATTTTCTGTAAGAAAACTTCAAAATAATACTTTTAATAAAAATAATAGTTCAACATTTTTCAAAAATTGTATAATTAGGTTCTCTACATACATAATATTAAGTTTAAAATTGTTTTATAAAAATAAAACTTAAGGTTTAGCAATTGATATATTTTTGCATATTTATCGATTTGATGCATGCCTATACTTGATTTGCTCAAGTAACCAATTTCAACCAAATTATATGCAAAAAAATAGTTTCAATTTGTGAATCTCAAAATCTTTGTTGGAGAAAATCTTAAAACATAGTTTCATTTATTGAAACAATCTTTAAAATGTGAAGTTCTTTCTTAGTGGGTCTTTACATCATAAAATGAAACTAGTAACTACTGACCAAATTTCGTACTCTTAGCTTCCGCGGTTCCGTGTAGGCGATGATGAATCGGTCAGTCAGTCAACATATGAATCGAATGATTCAGCCGGTATAATGAATCGTATAGAAACAATAATTTCCTAGTATAATACATTGTAAATTGAATTATTGCTAACATGACCATTGACCATAAATCTTGCTTTAGGAGAAACAGTCCTGCTTTCAAACTGTGTCCCCGAAGAATCATAAAATATACCCCTTTGAAAACATATCGAATTCAAATCATTTTGTTAGTAGGTAAAAGTATACGTTACTGTAGTACAGTATACTGATAAACATTTACATTTTATACCATAGATATATGGTATATATATTTATTCCATAGATAAAAATGATACAAAAATAACTAATAAGTACCTATAATTGAAGTCATTTTCGCTGCCACCGCGTCAACTGTGGCAATCAACAATAAATGTGAATAATATTGTTTTGCAATGACATCTTTTATTTTCTGTACGTCTGTGCGTGCCTAAGTTTGGTAATACGTGTTTGTATTATTGTTAGTTTAGAAAGATAAAGTGTTAACAATTCCGAAAGATAAACCATCGTTTTCCTATCGGATGCAACATTGAGTGACTTTAAAAAAATAATGGTTGTTTTTTAAGAGCATAATGGTGTCGAAAAGTTATTATTTAGGGCTTTTTGGTTAGTTTTTTAAAAATTTTTTATAGTTTTTAAGATATTAAGATCCGAATCTTAGTTACCTCCCATTATCAAACGTTCTTACCTATATTATTTAATATAACATATTTTTAACTCGTACATTGTAAATCTTGTGAAATTTCTTGTGTAGTTGTGCTTATAAAATGTGCGTCACAATTTTTATAAACGCATTAGCTTGTGACTTTATATCCTGTTAAGTCGATTGCAAGAAACAATCTAACCGATTTGTGTCTGGTAACCATACAGAAAATTTGTTTGGCTGATAATCATTTTATTGCTATAATTGCAATCGTTTTTGGTATTGGTAAATGGTACACCACTGTACATCTCCTATGACCTAGGTTAAGTAGAACGCTAGAAATATACTAAACACCAGAGTAAATGTATATGAGATTGTATCAAGTCTTATTAATTGTATTCCAATATTTGTCTAGTAAATAGCTATTATTAATTACTTTTTTTTTCAATTATTGAATCATTATTTGTAGTAACTACTCAAAACTAATTTAATTGCTTCAACTAAAATTAATTCAGTACAAAAATATTATTTTATAAATGTTTAATTTAGTGTTTAAAATATCAAAATGTAATAAGTGTTAAATCTTATATGGTACTCAAGTTTAATACTTATTTCCGTGTCCCTATTATAGTTGGACATAATATTTAAAATTATATATTTTATTAAGGTGTAATTAATTGCACATATAACTACCAAGTTTTAGATGTTATATCGTAAGTCTACTGGAAGTCCATATTTTCAAACTTAAAAGGACCAATGTGCAGTGTGCACTACCATATTGTTGTCACATTTATATAAATTGGTTAATGAAACATTCAATAATGTTCAATAACAAATTTATAATATGTATTTAACCTATATATAACGCTGGTTAGTGGCTACTATTGTGAAATGACATACTAAAATACTAAGATATATTAAAATAAATTGTATGGATATTCGTATAGTTACGAATATTTTATATTATTAAAAATATTTAACAACGAACGATGATAAAAGAGAAAAAAAATTTAACAATCTCAACAATAACAACGATTGGCAATAAAATATTATTATTATAAAACTAAAACTATACATACATATATATTGTATAAATTGTATATATATATGTATGTACATATTTTTAAAAATATACGTTTGTCTATAATTAAAATAGTCATATTATAAATATCTATTATATTTCAATACATAAACGTACATCCACAATGTTCGTATACAATTTACACATACAACAATAATTTGGGTATGTTTATGAGAGGAGGGTATTGTGGTAAATAATTATGAAAAAAAAGATACGCAAGTGTCACAAAAATTCTAACAAAAATTAAAGATATATGGCGATAGCGAATTTATTATTTATTGGAAATATATAAACGCTAATATCAACGTTTAGTGTCGCTACCACTATGACTATTGATTAAAAAATAAAACAAAAAAAACACTACAACTATTGTAAAACTATAAAACACTACCCACAGACTTCCATACCAACTAGATAAATAACCCGGAATGTTTTGCATATTAAGAGTTGATGATTATTTTCCATGTCTTTGGTTGAAAAAAAGCATAGAAATATACAAATTATAAACTATTATGTAGTATCAATGACTATCCATCAATAGAATGATTGATAAACCTATTGTATCCATTGTATTTTTTCAACCAAAATAATGTGTCATGATGTCTCATTTCATTACACGAGTTTTTATTATATCCTATGTAGTTTAAAAGTCTGTGATGTCTACCACTGCTATTAATGCCGCAACACCGCCCAGAATATATAGGAGCAATATGACGACCACCGAATAACGTAATTACCGCAGACAGGCCTCCAGCATTTCGACAAACAGCTTGTTCATTTTGACAACGGCTGTATTACCACCACCGCTGCCATTACCTATTGACGACGATCGGTCAGCAGCTGTGGATTGTCTAGTAAAACCTACTCCAGCACCCGTAGCGGCTGCGTTCTGTGGTTGTGGCGCTTGTGTGCCGGCAGCTAATTGCTGCTGATTCTCCCGGTGAACCCGGGTCCAGTACTGCCGGATTAGTTGATCGGCCTGCCGAAGTGCAGGCAAACACATAAGCAATTGTACGAGTTTAGACGAAGCAGATTCTGTGGATTCTGCGTGATGAGAATGGTGATGATGGTTTGGTTGGTTTTCAACCAATGGAGTGCCTCCACAACAATCGTCATCGTCCATCACTACGTTGTTGGTGGTGCTATTCATAAATGGAAGTACTAATTAGTATAAGTAAATAGTAAAAAAAATATTAATCTTTGATAGATTTAGGTATGTTACTAACCCGACGACAACTACTGTAGCCGCAGGAGCTTCTGTAGTGGATATGGTTGCACTCCCACTAGTGGTATCCATGCGTTGTTGTGACTGACGATGTTGATGCTGTTGGTGATTGTCAACGACGACAACGATTTCGCCACTATTGTCGAGCTGATTTGGGGCAGTATTGTTGTTGCTGTTAGTGTTGCAACAACAGCTACAGCAATTTGTAGTCATTCCGCTGCCATCTGAAGTGGTAGTTCCACTGTTGCCACAGCAATCCATAGTCATGGCTGACGTAGAACAACAATTAGTACTCCCATCACAACAACAACAATTTGATGTTGACGCCACCGCCAAGGTCATCTCCAGATGGGTTTGAAGAGCACGGGCAATGGTAGCACGAAACTGCTTGACAGCTGACTGCTGCTGCTGTTGGACCACTACTTCGTCGCCTTTAGACACCGATCTGTTGGTACCAAGGTTTTTTCCAGAGGATGTAGCCGCCGTCGCCGATGATGATGCTAATGTTAGATCGTCTGAATTAGCCAAGACTAATGCCTTGAGCAGATAGTACTGATCTGAAGTTAAGCCTTCACCACCATTTACCGCCTTAAATTGTCGAACTATATGAGCTGACTAAGCAGCATACAAACCACAATCAAATATTATTAATGTTATATTATATAAAATATACATTATTCAAAACTATACTAATTCATATAATTTAAAATAAGTTTTATTTTATTATTATTATTTCACGATCTAAACTAAATATTGGTTTTGTTGAATTCGAGGAATAACGTCTATATGGATATTTTACAGAGATAATTGCATATGGGACGATGCTCTGCAGAGAGCAGTGGAAAATCAGCACTATTATCCTATTAAGTGACCTCATGAAATGCTTTACAAATAACGACGTGCTGTTTTTATTGTTGTTTGAGATAAATATATGAAGAGATGTGTTTTAAGGTACGTGATACAGTTTTATACATAATCCGTTGCCGTTAGTGAAATATGATAAAACTAAGAAAGTAGTCTATGCAGCAATTACGGTTAATTGGTCGGCATATTATGTAAATAAGTATTAGATTGATATATACAATAAGGCTAACGTAAGCTTATGTACTAAGGATGAAAGAATAATGGACTATCAAATCGTACTTTTAAATGCCTACTAGTTATCTGCTTATCACTCAATAACGGACAAACGGAAGATTTTACGAATAAACTGCACTTTTAATATACAGTCAAACTTGATCAACACGAAGTTGAAGGGACCGACAAAAAAGTTCAAGTTATCCAAGAATACGAGTAATCCAAAAAAGTTCTAGGAACCAGGGTAAGAGTTCGGGGTACGACGATTTCGAGTTAACCACGTTCAACTGTATAAATATGTTTTTGGGCTAGCTACAATTTTTTTTCTGGCTGGTTTTCGTAACACTTATTAACGTAAAATGTATAACTGTAACCATGGTAGCCCCCCCCCCCCCCTAAACATATTTATGATTCTTTGATTTCCCTTGCAAGGGGGAAATATCAAGTAACATAATACGTTTTATGTATTGCCGAAGCTGCTGTTGTTTGCGTACCTACTTTTTTTATATATTATTACTATTGATTTTTGAGTATGCAGATGGGCCAAATTCAGGGAGTGGGGATTGGTTAAAAAAAGTAAAAACCGATAGATTTTTAATTGTGTATGGTAGGGAAGGCGAACTTTTTTGCACCAGCGTGTCAAATAAAAATTTTGGTTGGATATTGTTTTCCCTGCATATCAACTAGTTCGAATTTTTTTCAAAAACTTAAGTATTATCAAACTTTTAGACATTCGTGTGTATCACTAAAATAGTGTGCGCATGTCATAGGTTCTCCATCTCTGGTGTATGGAATCGAAACCCTCCGCTCAAATTAATGTAAATAATGTTATCCCCTTCCCTGAAATTTTAATGGATTTTCGTCTATGGGTACATACACTTATTCAAATCAAGATATCATCATAATATATATGTTTCAAACCTTAATAATAGATAAATGTACAATACGATATTTAAAATACTAACTAATTTAAAATATAAATTATTATTTGTATATAGTATAAGGCGTGTGTGTACTTAGTTAAAAATTATTTTACCTACAATTAGCCAAGTATATTTTGTTAATACACTATTACATTTTAATAAAGATATGTTTTTGAGCAGTGTACAACTTTTATTCCTAACCGATTTTCGGGAGACCAATTTTAGTAACGATTTGCTTATTGCCACAAAAAAGCAAACAATAAAAACATGTAATTTAATATTATTCCTAACAAAATGTAGCATGCTACTAATTATTTTTACACTACACTATACTTAAAAACATATTTTCGACTCCTCAATTTTCCTTGCAGAGAAAAAATATCTAATTATCATTTATACGAACGACATATTTTATTTTAATATTGTAAAAAATGATTTTAAGGATTTTTAAAGAAAAGAAAACATCATGGACTCATAATACATTTATATTATAATGAAATCTCAAGGCTGGCCTATAATACTAACCAAGTTGTAAATGTCCAGCACTGTTGGAGTTGTTATTACTCCCGTACTGCTAGTCGTACTAGTGGTGGTTGATGTACCATTTGACGAAGAAGGAGCGCCGTTAGTCGCTGTACAACACTCTCTAGCCAACCTCTCGTCCAACCAATAGTCTGTAGCATACCGCAACCTAAGACCATTGCCACTACATTCTTCACCGGCAACGCCAATACTATTAATGTCACTACCGCCGTCACCACTTTGACCATTAAACTGTTCCAAGGAACGGAATGCCATGGTTAATGTCAATAGTTCTGCCCAAGTCGACTGCAATAGGCGCATCTGGTCATTGAGCGACAGGTCAGTGAACCCTACAGGTAAAAATACATTTTATCGATATTAAATCACGTATACATAGATATCAAAATTATAAGGGAATTTTCGCTTACAAAAAGGGATACCTACTTACTTGAAATAACTTACCTTGAGTAACGAACAAGGAAACTCGGGAAGTAATTATTTATCTACAATTTAATTAAAATAAATTTATTTCAAACACAACTAGATCTTAAAAATCGGAGAACTTTTCAGTATTATGTTCTGCCTATTTAGTAACATATTTTGCATAAACGTGTAACTTTTAATATAGATACCTATAAACTATGCAAGTATATATTTATGTATGGATGACACATGTATAAATTAATTTGTATACGAACCAGGTATCTGCTTGGCCCAACCAATGGTGCTTACCAGCTCTCTGTCATATAATTCAGCGAGCGTGTGCACCACCATAGTAGCCGCCACCGTTGGTGACGACGCAGCCGATGCTGACGACGAGGAGGATGACGATGACGATGGCGAAGACGTTGAAGATATACCATCCTCGACTAGACCACCACCCATCGTCACCGCAGTCACCGTTCCTTGTTGTACCCCCAGCGTCGAGGACTGAGTGAAAAACTCCATGGTGATAGCAGCGTTAGTTGATCCGTCCCCGCCACCTAATAACGTTGGCATCTCAGGTTCACATTGTCTAAGGGCGTCCAACATTTTTTCTAAGAACACCAAACAGACAAAGTTTATTATTAACATAATTTAATAAAAAGACGTAAAATATTCAAAACAAAAATATTTATATTTATAACCACACTGCATAAGATGTTTTCATATTTAATAGGACTGAATCCAAATCTGTTGTCTCTGTCTTATGGACGCATAAAGGTTAAACGACATATCAAATTCCCGTTCAGCAGAACCAATTTTGAGTTATTAATTAAACTTAATATTAAAGTGAATTTATATTATCCAAATTCAAATTTGAAATATAATCTAGGGTATTTTAAAAGCTTACATTAATATTTTCATTTTAAAGTGAGTTATAACCAGAATATGTAAAATACTACAATTTTAAAATGCTAATAACTTGCCTTAAAATTTAAATATTGATAAAAAGCCTTTAAAATAAACTGGACAATAAAATCACTTTTCTCACTTTTTAGTTTAATAATAAGTCAATTCAATATAATAACACAAAATTGGTTCTGCTGAACATAGATTTTCTGTGTAAGACAGAGACAACATGATGGTTTGCTGTCTTTTTAATATGATGTCAAAATGTAATTCAACTCTCGGGCTATTAAAAATATTATGTATGAATAATGGTAACATTTAACATTTGACATTTCAAATTCAGTGACTCTACAGCTAATTTACTTACACCTTTTATAACTATTTTATGAAATAATAACAACTTTAAGACTTACCACACTCCCTGATAGCATCCACTGCAGTTGTAGCTTCATTACAACAACACTGCTGCTCGTACTCTTGTTTGATACACACACCATCGTCGTTATTGTTGTTCCAACCACCAGTTCCTCCCCCGTTGCTGTTATGCAAGCCGTGGTGATGATGCTGGCTGTTATGTACCGACACTGCTGTGGTTGTACCATTACTACCATTTGAACACATTTGGCGAGGCACAGAAGTCAATTGTTGATGATGATATGAATGGTGGTGATGGTAGTTTCCGGTGGAAATAACTTTGTTGTTGCCGAAAGCATTATTAAAAGACTGCTGTTGATGGTGGTGATGATGGATAGATGATGCAGCATTGTTGTTGTGCGTATGATGATGATGATGGTGGTGAATAGAATTATTAACAGTTGTCGCCGCAGTAGATTGCTGTTGCTGATGCACAGTTTGTGGTGATGATTGAACGACGGAGATCGCCGCAGTAGGTATAGGAGTTGATGGCTGCCGTCGGTACTTTTGACGGCCACCACGCACACGATCCAGGCGCACGCCTTCCTTGAGCATACCAGTCCTCAGGCATTTCTGCATCCGACATGCCTGACATGCTTTCCGCCGTCGCTTATTGATTTCACAATCTCCACTGGCAGGACATGTGTATTCGATGTTACCTGCATATTAAAATAAAGTATATTTGTAATTTACATAAACCTAATACAATATATTACATCAATAAGCATGTATTGTGGTTGGTTACTACCAATCACCACTTAGTACTCAACAATTTTGCACAGCAGGGAAATTGGTGGTATAGATAATGGTAGCAAGATTGTTGTTGAAATGATGACATGGCGGGATACCACATCCTGATGCTAGGGAATCAGGAGGAGGTCGGTTACATAGGAGTGATAAGTGTCATGTAGGCAAGTCATAAGGAAATAGGTTTAAAAAAAACATGACATGGGCTTGTACAAACCCTGTATGGTGCGCTTAAAAAACGCCTTGCAAGCTTCACACGATGCTACACCATAATGGAAGCCTGAAGCAACGTCGCCGCATACCAGACACAGTCGTCGTGGCGGAGGTGGTGACGAGGAAGTGGCATTGGAGCTGTTGTTGTTATTATTAGTGACGATTGTCACTGCTGCTGCTGCAGTCATATTATGCTGTTGTTGCTGATGATGGTGCTGGTGTTGTTGATGATGATGATGATGGTGATGCAAACTATCACCACTGACAATGGCTGACATGGAGACATCTTCTTCTTTGATCATTACTACAGTAGTAGAAGGCGGAATTTGTTGTTGCTGCTGTTGTTGGTTATGATGGTGTTGATGCTGCAGAAAATAACAATGAAAGGTAATAGATAGAATTAATAGTAGGTACTTAGTTGTGTTTATTAAAACTTAGTACTCGCAATTTTTTGAATTATATATATTAAGGTAGTATTATGAGTTATTACTCTTTAGTTTATTACAATTGTGCACGGTAACAGTAAATTCGAGGTAAATTTTGTTAGATACCAAGATTTTGTGAGTGATGCACATCTAATTGTATCAGTACATATACAAAATGGTGACAAATAACATATTACAGCAAAAACTCAGCACAAGTCAGCGTTATTACATAACCAGCCACAGACGGCATAATAACAATAATAAAATTGTTACAATATGTGCATTTGCATCACGATATCGATGATCCACTTTTCTTACCACACAAAAGTATAGTGCAATAACGATTTTATACGACTATGAATTATTCAAATATACCCACAAGTATTATTTAAATGTCAAATTTAATGTGCATGCGAATATATACCGGCGAGAAATACATAGTGAATAATGCCATCTGTATTTATGAAACACCTAGTAAAATTGGTATGCAAAATAATATCATAATTGAATCTTTATTTGAAAATACGTCTATTTCTAAAAAATATTCCAAGTCTAGTGTTTTAAATGGTAATATTATTCAAGATATTTTATAAATAATTAGATAAAAAAATATTTAGTATTTAAAAATGTTACCTGTTGTTGTATCCCTGCTGCTGCAGTAGTGCTTGAACAACAAAATTGAGCAACCGATGACGATGGTTGGCGGTGTCTTCCACTCGAAACACTACCAGAATCAACTGACACTAGCATAAGTCGTTCTTGGCGATTGGTGGTGGTGGTTGACGCTGACGATGATGTGATGCTATCAAATTGCTGATTGTGTTGAATCTGGAGCTGTTGATGTTTAGCGGCTGCAGCAGTTAATCTAGGACGGCGATGACGACGATACATCTGTAAACGAATAAATACAAAATGATAGTGATAGTTAGTACAGATTATTGGCAAACAGATAATAAAAGTATCTAGTGTTAAGTATTCCCAAGTACAGGGGGGCACTTACTATATTATATAGTAATAACTATTACTAAAGTAGGTTCAGGAAATCAAGCGTTTGATTTTTAAATGAAATCTACCTGAATGTTATTAAAACTTATGTCATGTTACTATGATTTCAAAAATTAAATTTTATTTGTGCTTTTTAAAAAAAAAAGTTTTTAAAATACTAGTTTTGTATATTTTATACTTTGAGATGATGCAAATGACTGAACAAAACCCAGATTTTTTTTATCTATAGTTGTATTCTTAGTGTGTGTTTATCATAGAATAAAAACAAAAAATAATTTAGCCTATGTATTCTTTAAAATGTAGACTATTCCTCACATGTATTCTTTGTTTTTGTTATCTATTTGTCGTATTGTTAGGGACAACAAATATATCCAAATGTTCTAGCAGTAAAGCAACAAAGTATATTAAATTGATTCTTGGTATACCACTGATTTTGATAAGTAATATTAAATATTTTTTTATATAAAACTAAAAAAGCTTAAGGTTTCTAAAAATATGTACCTACCTTATTAATTTTTAAGTATAAAAAAAATATTTAGATGGTGTCTTAGAAAACATGCTCAGCACATGCAAAATACCTAATATTTATAGCACAAGAGGAAATTTGAACCCTATTTATTTTTTATTTTTTTGAGAGTTAAAGGAAGAGGAGTCACTATATTTATTGCTTATTTCAATATTGAAAGTGAAAGTGCTCAATAAATATTTAAGTACTTTTTAAAAAAGCGTATTTTTATGGTTAAATACCTAAATAATTATTAGTCAGACTAAACCATAGAAAAAGGGAAGGTTAAGGGTTTTTAGTGTACCCAGACTCATAATAATGAACCCCAAAAGTTCATGCCATAATTCTTTATTTTTAAATAGATATTCAATTTTAATAAGTATTGTTTTTTTATTGTTCAATTCCATTATTTTAGCATTTGTTATGAAATATTTTGTTAAAAATTAATTTATTATAGAATGGTTTGATAATAATAATAATTGCCACAGTTAATATTATCAATGACATTATACTTGGGGAATAACTAACTAAAAGAGGACTAACTTGTATAATTTAATTAAAATTGCAACCAATTTACCAGTAAGCTTTTGAATAGGCAAATGAAGTTCAATCATGAGACAAATTTTAAATATTGGTTAAGGACGAGAATGTAACAACAACGGTTCACTGACTTATCTTTTTTGAATAGGTATTCAACAATACATTACAACTAAGCAATAACTTAAAATTGGTTGGTTTTATATAAAATAAATAACAAAAAAAATAGTTTAGAAAAATACATATTGGAACCTGGGGGTTAATGATATGATTTTTTTTCATTTTTTTGATATTTAATATGACTGTATTAATATATATATATATATATATATATATTTGTTATACAGGGGAAATATACCAAAAAAGTAAATAGATACTTGATGTACTTATGTATAAAAATAAATAATAATCACTCAATTTCATATTCAATTTAAAATTGTTTTAAAAGAGCTTGGGTGGATTGATTTTTTTTGTTTTAGCTATTAATTGGTTACTTTTCGGCTGTTAACAATTTTAGCACTCTCCAAAAATCTAGTATTAATTGTGCCTATGGACTATAGATGGTGGGGCCAGATGTGTGATCCAGATACTAAACTTTAATTTGAATTGTTACTTTTTGTGATGGTAACATGAATTTCAAAAATACATATAATATTATGTGAGTAGGTACTACCTATATTAAACATTAAAGGATTATGATAAAATATCAGCCACCTAAACATTTCAAACATTTATACCAATTTTGTATTTAGAAAGCTGGTTATAAAAATTGGTTTTTATTTAAATTTGGATCTGATCATCGTAGTGCTTTCTCCTTCCTTACTATTTAATAAATTTAGACTAAGTAATGATTGACTCTGGGACATTGTGTGTTAGTGTCTTCCAAGGTGTTTTCATAGATGTAGTTTAGCAACAAGTTTAGAGTCCAATACCTAGTCTAGTACCTATATGATTTATCATTAATCAAAAATGTATTATTTACAAAAATAGTACACAATTTCCTTAGGTTGTTATTAGTCATTATAAGTAGGTAGGTACCTACTACTTATTTGAAAAATTTAAGTTGATGTGTTTTATTGTTGTTTTTCATGGATTTGCCTAAGTTAAAAAAAAATTATTTACAAAAATTAAGTTTGTACTTGGTAGATACTTTTATTAATTATTACTTATTACAAAATATTTTTTTATGGGAATTTATAGGTAGGTACATGGTTAAAAAAATATCTTGGTGCCAATTATTAATAAAACACTTCAGATAAATTTTATAGTATATATGTAATATATGTAATAATGTTGTTTTATGGTTCACTCTTTGGTATCTATGTGTAATGGTGTATTCATGTGTTTAAACATAGTTTATTTCATTATTTTTTTTTTATAATATTGCCTAACAAAATAGTTCATTGATGGTTTTTTCTATTATGATGTAAGAAATGCTCGAATACATGAATATATCCGGAAAATTTATCCTGACTCATTGTCAACAAAAAAATATAGATAGATCACATCTTGTACCTACCATGATATCAATCAATACTCACATCTTCTATTTCGTTAGTGTCGTGTTGCTGTTGATGCTGCAAGTGAATCAGCTGATGTTTGGTATCATCGTCGTCATCCATATTTTCTTTCTTGACATAAATAAGGGTTGTAGTTGTTGCCTCGTCGTCTACGGCAAAGTCATCATCACGTCCATTTACTCCAACAAATGTTGATGACGCCGTCACATCGGATTCTTCAACAACCACAGTAGAGCGCCGACCATTTCCACCACCACTACCGACAACATTGACACGATGCATAGCACCCAGTTGGTGGCTATCTAACTAGATGTCGGCCTATTGGCCGACAGCTACAGCGTCTCGGTCTTGCAGCCGATGGTAACAGTGGCAGCAGAGGAGTCTTCTGTTCGGAACCGTTAGCGACAATTGATTTCATCACGTGTACACAGCAATCGCTCTCAATACTCGCGTTTCAAGGGCTAGCCGGCGTGTCGTTTACCCGACTCGAGAAATTCCGAGGATGCTCAAAAATAATAAAACCAGAATCGAAAAAAAAATCGCCTAAAATCTGTCGGTTACCCAACTGCCATTAAAACTGCACAGCCGTCCGGTTTACTTGCTCGCAGAATCGAACACGAGCTCGCCGTACCTGGAAAGCGGAGAGCAACGCGCGCGCAACCGTCGGCCGTTCACGACGACTCTTTACAATATTTTTTTCAATACCTATATTTTGTTTTTTTTTTACGGAGAAAAACAGACACGATTGATGATACCGTCGGTGTGCGAGTGTGCGTGTGTGTGCGTGTGATAATACGTCGTCGACACCACGCACGCGCAAACACGTCCGCCTACCGATGCCCGGCCACCACTTGGACTATGATATTATCTATAGATACGGTGGCGGCGCCGAGGCGGTGGAAACTGGTAAATAGTGTATTTAGCGTTGGCAATTTGTTTGCTGACGGACGGACGCTATTTCCTATAATGAAAAAAAAAAACATAATTTAATCTAATACTTTTTTTTTTCACACGTACAATAATAGGAGGTGTCGGGGGCGAGCGCGCGCGCGTTCGAGTGAACAAATAAAAGCACCGACCGCGGTGTTGTAACTCATCGTAAGTCGTCGTCGTTGGGTTTGTGTAGGAAAAAAAATAGACTTATTACGTACACGCAATACCCATCGCACGCTCTTGTAAATGCGTTTTAAAATCTGTGACGTGTGTTACGAAACGTCTGACGACGACTAAAGCCATTCTATGAATACCTATAATATTTTATTATATTATTAAAAATAATATAATTGTTGACATAGGTACCCACCTAAGACCTAATAATATTATTCGAGTAGCCCAGCCAAGGCCGCAGGACTATCGCTGTAGTTCTAAACGACATAATATTATGATATGTGATATTATAATAATATTGTCAGGAGGTAGGGAGGTACATAATAATTATTATTGTTACAGCTGCTGAAGACTATACGGGTTTGTCGCTCGGTGGGTGGTAGGAAGGGGTGACTGGCGATGCACATTGCACTTATCAAGTCTAGTCACAGTGACGACATCGGTGGTACTGCAACAGCCTTTGAAAAACCTAAATTTATTAATGATTAGGTATAACTATATATGTATATATTATTGCGGTTACCTCGCTTCTCTATCATAACTAATATTATTATCCAAATACATTAACTCGTGTTAATATATTATGTAGGTATAGTATTATGAACTCGCTTATCTATTTTCGGATTTATTACAATACGAATAGGTAGGTAATAGGTATGTTATACTATTATTATTGTCATATACTCTTATTATATGACGTCTAAAAGTGCGAAAGTGCAAAATGCAAACCATATTATATACTATACAGTTATGCATTTATATTTTACTGTGTCTGCTGTCCGACATATTGTTGGTACCTACCTATTACCTATACAATAGTACTTCGAGGCTTGTGTGTAGAAACAATTTGTAGTTTATAGTGAGATATTGGGTCATTGAAGAATGAGAGCGGTAAATTGAAAAATGAAATATAATGTAGGAATTAATCCGTAAGTGTTTACCAAGGAAGGTAAGGTGGGAGAACATATGGAAACATAATTAATTAACCGAACCAATATTATGTTATCGCCGACACCTGTAAATTTATATAATATTAGTTATTACCTAGTTACTATAAAAAATATCCACATGTTACTGTTTTCTGTTACTTATACATATTGGTATTTGCCACAACTGTCTGTTTGGTACCTACCTACTTAGTACTCACGATAATAAAAGTTAATAAATTTGTAAACAGCAAACAGTAAACTAACAAATATTATACAGTAGGTAGATGTATTGTAACAATAAATTCACCTATCAAAACGAATACAAATATTAAACTAGGAACCTAATAATTAGGGCTTGGTGATGTGTACATATTTATAAATTTATAATGTTATATTAACTATAGGTACCTATTTGGAAAGTGTTCATACAAAAATATAACAATTAACAAATATTGTAATCATTAAATTATTTAAAACTAATCCAAAATATAAAGATAACAAAACAAGTAATAATGTAGGTATAGCTAATGCTATAAATTATTATTCAATGCTTAATACCTATACTTATTGTCTGCATGATTAAAATAATTACATAGGTACCTTAATACTACACGTCTACACGAATGTTTAAATTTTTGAAGATAAATGAACGTCGATTACCTATCGACTACACATAATACATTAGATAACGAAGACACCTATTCAAACACTCTAATACGTACTAGGTAGAAAATTATAAGTTATAATATACACAAGCAAGTGCACACAAATAAATAAAAAAAATTCCAATTTAAAAAAATGAAATCCAAATTAGCTCATTTTATTAGAATAATATATTGAATAAATATTTCTCTCGAATAAATAAATAGTACCTATTACCTAAATTAGCTAAACTATTAAAATACCAACTAAATCCACATTTTTACCAGAAAATATATTGTAGTTCATTAATCCAAGCATTTTTATTTTAACAATTTTTAAAAATGACGTCAGACCTTAGATCATAATATAGGTACTACGAATGAAGCCATAGCCTTCCTCGCCTATGTAAGCAACGTGAAGCACATATTAGAGACGAGTCTCACATTGAGATTTGAGATGCATTATTATCTGCGCAAGCGAGAATATATTTGTCGCATAATTATTATTTATTACTCATTATCACTATAGGTAGTTATTTCTCATAAATTCCCATGGACAATGCCACAGATGTCTACATAGTAGAGTGCAATGCCGAGAGTACCTTATCTAGTTAATATAGATATACTTATTCTGTGGACAATGCAGTTATTAGAATAAATATACGACAAATATATACATTACACACTTGTGTGCAGGTAGCACGTCTCAACAAAATACTCATCACTTATAATATTATTATAGTATGTTGTATGTGTTTCAAATGTCGGGAATTCGAGACACGGCTCCATCCATAGGATACGATCTAAGCGTCAGACATAAGAAAAAACATTGTGAAACCAATATGTTCATTGCTCCGCTTGGAATTATTATAGTGTTTTATTAGTAAGATCAATAATGATGATCAAAAGAAATTTTTTTTTTTATCGAGTGTTTTATTTCCGGGGACTTTGGTACCTAACTAACATTCAATCTTTATCTAAAATTAAATTGTAGTATTGTACACAATGAAATTATTTTCTTTGTATTTACGATGGACAAATAAAGCTCCATTGTTACTAACATATTTTAAAAAGAAAATGTATACTTTTAATCAAATAATTTACATATAAATTATTCTGAGATGCTAATATTGAACAGTTTCCTCTACATGTTATTCGTGTGAAACTTATTGTTTACCATGTACCAAATTTACCTACTTTTTAGTTAACAGATTAAAAATTTCTTTATAAATAAAAAAAACTTATCATGCTAGCTGGTGCCTCATCGCCACAATAATATAATATACAACTAAGAACCTTCTTCTTTTCTGTTAAAAATTATATACACATAATAAATGAATACCTATTCCTATAATAGTATATTGGAATTAAGTAATTGAACTTTTAAAATTTCAACATAAATAAATAGTTATAAATATAATAGTTATATATATATAGTAAATATATAGTTTGTATAATATATAAGTTATATATTGTCTAATATTTATTAGGATTTTTAAAATTTGATTGTAAGTTAATTTTAATTCAAAAATCCAACTTTTGTAAACCAAGGTTTCACGGAGTTGAAACCAAAATTCAGGCAGACAGGCAATCACTAATGACATAAAATATTTGAAATCAAAATAAGTAAACAATTGTTATTGATGTTCGTATAACTATTAAAAAAGTGTAATGTCCGGCCTTTAAATTATAATGTTTTCATATTACCTATAAAATTGAGTTTATTAATCAGTTTTGATTACCAAATGTGACAATTAAACAATACAAACTTATAAATTTTATAAATTAAATTGATTTTTTTGATTTGTTACGTTTTTTGTAGAAATATTATGAAACAAGAAGAAAACGTTTAAGTGTTTAAGTCAACAAATTAGTTAAATACCTATATCAATAATAAACTTTATCAACATTTTTAAACTCCAATAATAATATTTTTTATCTAATGGTTTTGCAGATTATTTATTTTTCTTAGAAAACACTTATTGTAACCTTACTATTAATAAAAAAAGTACAATATTATCTGCTAGTCAACTCCAAAGAAATGAAAAGTAAAGTACCTACCACTGACACAGTCATTTTCACTTTTTATTTTGTTAAAATTCGGTCATTTTTTCATTGATTAAGTCAGAGATATTGATATATTGTACCTAATCGAAATTTAAACGAAAAAGAGTCTGTGTACTGTGTAATTCTTCTTAAAATACTAAGGATAATACCTACTTTATTAAATACTTTGTAAATAGATACGAGCTAGTTAATTATAATTTATAATTAATTAGGCAGTATAACATATTTGTTAATAATTACTACTTAGTCAAATTACGCAGATAAATTTTTAATATTATAAAGTGCTTATGATTTAATTTTGCACACAATAATTTTTAAAACAAAAGTAAGTAATATCCTAACCTTCCCGATTTTTTAAACTAGTAAACTTACTCTCGGATCAATATTATATTTATCTAAAGTAAATGTGTAAACTCTCCCGAGTTGTTTTATATGTTATTGCTACACTACAAATTGGCTTCACTGCAGAAATTATAATTATCATTTTAAATATTTATCATTAATTGTATTACCGTTAACCTGTAATTGTAATTTAAATATTTAAATACCTTCAACCTATTTTTAATTTAAATATTTAAAACAATATTTACTATTAAGGCTCAGCCAAGTTTTTCAACCTTATCAACTGCGTAATACGAATAATGCCCTATGTTCTCCTAGCTTAGTAGTACTGAAGTTGTGTAGCCCCCGGAGAGTTTACATGGTCTTATCAGGTAGTACTGGGTTAGACCCGTGAGAGTTTACATGTCATTAAAATCGGGAGAGTTTAAATTGCCCAAATTTTCAAAAACCTTATTCATAATCCACATTATGAAAATATGTAAATACCCAAAGTTGGTATCGCCGCAAGATACTCCAAATGTTGTGAAAAATCTAAGTATTTAAAAATATCGTCTTAAACTACACTTAAAATTCCAACAATCAGAATTGAATTATGTGCATGTCTTCGGCCATAGTGCCATACAAATGGGCAACCTTCATATAAATTACTATACTTTATAATCTTTCGAAGTCCCTGAATTTTCGCGTATTCCCATCCATCAATGTTTTTTTTTT